TTAAGATCGGTAACATTTGGAGATGGTGCAAACTTGGAACTTTGTAATATTAATACTGGAGTCAAATAATGTTTTATAGAAAATTAAGGTGATTGGAGTCTAGGAATAGGCTTAACCTAAAAATTTAGATCTCCATGTCATGTCCCCCATGTGTAATAAAATAAAATTCACATTTTATATATTATCTTAAACTAAATAGAAGTTATTAATAGGATTTAAAATGTTATCAATTATTTAATTGTTGGTAAAAACGTTTAAAAGACGTTTAAAACACATTTAGAACATAACTTTTAAAAACAAATGCCCGTCGGGAATAGACTTGAAATAATAAACTTGTATTCTATGGAGAATGTAGAAAAAACAATTGATAATTTTAAAAAATGTTGAAAAATTAATGGACAATTTTTATTGCCTTTTTATTTGATTGCTAATATATTACATTATATCGAAAAATATTTTCATAATGTTGATAATACATAAAGAAACTGAACAATAAATAACCCAGGTAATAAAAATACTTACATATATTATTTTAAATAATTAATATTCACCAAGTTTTATTTGAAATAAAAATTTGCTTAATAACTTGTATAACTAGAAACCTTTTCAAGAGTTTAATTTTAGTTTTAAAAAATGGGTACGTTACTTTCTTAGATAAAAATTTTAATTTCAATTTTAATTTATTTTGTTTTAAAAATTTATTTAACGTTTATAAGTTACAATAGTTTAGTTTTCATAAACTAATTAAAATCAACACATATAACTTTTTGGACAACACACACCTAACCAAATATCGTTATTAATTAAAATCAATACATATAACTTTATGGACAGTACACACCAAACCAAATATCGTTATTAATTAAAATCAACACATATATCTTTATGGACAACATTCACGAAAACAAATATCGTTATTAAATAAACAAATAGTTTAAAAAGACATTTAAATAAAAAAATGATATGCCTGCACAAAATCAAAATTACAATGTTTGTATTTTTAATAATAAATTAAAAAAAAAAAAAAAAGTTTATTAAAAAATTAAAAACTAAAAAAAGTAGTAGCAACAAATTTTACAATTTGTTGCTACTACTTTTAGTAGCAACAAATTTTACAAGTTCTTCAAAATATAAACCAAATCTTTTGTGCACTATGCACAGAGCTTTTTTATAAACTTTAATTATAAACATGTTGTCATGTTTAGAACAAAACATCCAAGTTATTGGACAGTATAAGAAATTAGACAAAATAAAAGCATTGAATAATAATATGGCGTTTTTAAGTGTTAAAAAAGTTCTTATGCGATCAAGAGCTTTACTACATAACAACTTTATATGTTCACTAAACTTTAAATCATTATTCAGAAGCAAATATTTTTATGTTTCCCATTGTTAAAAAATATTTTTCATAATTTATTATACCAACTAACAGTAGTTGGAATTTGTCTAGATTTATAACCATAGAATTTACCTTAAACCAAACAATGGTATTTTAATTTTCTCTTGCAAACGAGAAAGTGCTCTTTCTACACTGTTATCTCAAACATATAGAGTGTTGTCACCAGCAAAGTTGCAATGCTCAGTATCTTTAATAAATAAAAATTTATCTTTTATAAATATGTTAAATAAAACTAAAATATTATATAGATCCTTGGGGTACTCCTAAAGAAATATATGACCAATCTGAAAGCGTAGAACCTATCATCACTCACATATAAATATGCATTATCTTGATACTTTCATCAGAAAGGCCATATGCTTCTAACTTAACTATCACTAAATCATGAGGAATAAAGTCATATGCCTTAGAAAGATTAATTAGTTATGAACCGATTGTATTGCAGTTGTCTATAAATTCCTACCATTTCTGGAGTAAACTGAAAAGTGCATGCTGAGTGCTATATCTTTTACAAAAACCACACAGCTGGGAATCCAATTTAGGTTCAATAAATAGCAGTATTTGTTGGTGTAAAATTAATTCCTAAACTTTTGATAGTGCAGGAAGTATACTTTTCGGACGGTAGTTTGATTTGTTTGTTGGATCGTCTTTTTAAAAAAAGGATAACACATCGGCCATTTTCTAAAATGACGGGAATATACCATCAGAGAAACTATTATTTATGCAGTCTCTTAGAATATCACCAAAGTACATGAAATATGATTTTAGCATAAATGTCGGAATATCACCACCAGTCTTTTTCTTACAATTCATTGAACCAATTATTTTAAAAATTTTATCTGTTGAGATTAGGTGAAATTTAAAACATTCAGGGTAATTCCATGGTATTAACAGGGTAATTCCATGTCAGTTGACCCACAAACTTTTTAAAATGTCATCACATATGTCAGATTTTGCTGATTTTTATATAGCGTAGAGTACGTAGTAAAATAAGAATTCTTTAAAAACTTTAGCTCCAAAAAGAAGAATTTGTACTTAAGTTTATACATTTTTTTAAAATGTTTAAATAAAAAAAGTTTTCTTAAAACATTTTAAGAAAGACTATTGAATATAGAATGATCAAAAACCAAATGGAACAAGTATAAACTAAAATAATTTTTAAAGACAATATTTTCAAAAAATCTTTACTTTGTTAAAAACAAAAAATAGAAATTCTAATATAAAAATAACTGGGACATGGCCCCAACTGCCCTAGACCATGGACCCTTTGGTCATCTGCCCTAGAATGTTTGTTTAAAACTATTTTAACACACGTTTATAAGGACTATGCAACCTAAAAGTTTAAGAGCTCGAGTTTGATTGGAAAGTAGTCAAAAATCTTTTTCAAGATTTCACAACAAAAAAAGGGACACATGGCCTAGCCACCTCTGGTTTCTCAGGCCATGAATACAATTTTAACATGTACATTAATCGACACTACAGAAATGCTAAAGGTTGGAAAACTCTAGCTGGTCTGGAAAGTAGTGAAATATAAATCGCAAAAATCTGCTACTAAAAAGTGGAGACCATGACCTATTTTCCATATGTAAAAATCCATATTAATAATTATTAACACTTTGTGAATCACCCTCTGTAAAACCTATTTACAAGGTAAAAACACAAACTAAGAAAAAGAGATAAAAAAAAGTATTATTTAGGAATGTTTTCTTTAAGTATCTTTTTAAAAGTTGTTCGCTGTTCTTTTACATTGCGCGCGTACCAAAATATAAAGAGTAGCTTCAGGAAGGGTAGCCTCAGGAATATACTTGCAGATAAAAGTCTTTAAATTTTCTGAAAGATAAAATATAGAATGAAAATAGAATGAGGTATAATATATATTTTTTGAAAACATCAAAGTCACATATGCTTCTTGAGCATTAAAAACAGGTAAACAATAAATTCCCTAAATTTGTTTGAATCGATAATAACAGGTACTTAATAATAATTTTTTTTAATTTTTTTTTTTTTTTTTTAATTTTTTTTCTGATTATTTTATTTGATTGATCGCCACTGAAAACAGTCAGTTACAAATTTTTAAGTAAAAAGATCAAATATTTTTTAAAGTTATGTGATTTAAAATAACCTTTTTAAATAACTTTTTATAAATAACTTGGAATATCAATTAAAAAGAAATAATTTTAATTAGTCTAACAGAAAATATTTTGTTCAAGAAAATTCTCACTTGATAAGCAAGAAGTTTCGAGTTCAATCCCCACCGTGTCCAGAATTGGACAGGAATGGCATGTGATCGAGAGCTATTGATTTTATTTTTTGACAACTGTTTTGACCACAACTGTTTAGATGTTTTTTAAACATTTTAGAAATGCGAAGAAAAAAGAAATGCTTACTAAACTAGGAAGAAAATAAAAAAAATAACGAAATGCGAAGAAAAAAGAAATACTTACTAAGCTAGAAAGAAAATTAAAAAAATAACGAAAAAAAAACAATTAATTCCTTGCGAAAAAGAAAGTATTAAAATTAAAACTAAAATTAAAATTAAAAAACTCAAATTTAAAGGCAAAAACTTTATGTTACGTTTTTAATTGCGTTTAAAAAAAATTACTTAAATTTTGTCTTTTAAAAAGTTTTATTAAAGTTACAAAAAATGTATTTTACAAAATACTTCTAATAACTGTTTAAAATGATCCCCAAGGCAAGTTGTGTTCATAATAAAGAAAATGTTAAATAAAATGTTTGGGCTAAATGTTTTTGATTAAACCTAAAAAATAAATGCATATCAATAAAATTAAAATTTTCGTTTTAGTCGAAGCTTGCTGTCTCCATTTTTATTCGATTCTCTGAGTCTGTACAATGTTAGTTACAATCTGCAGACTCAATAATTTATTGCATGTGTGTTTAAATCATATTAGTTTCAGTATCGCCTATAATGAATAGCCTATGAATATTAATAGTGCGCATAGTTACGCGTATTGTTTTATAGTTACGGTACGGTTCTGTATCTGTAAAATACACTTTTTAAGTAGTTTCTAGACTTTTCTTTACCGCGTGCTTACTTACAGATTTCCCTTCAACATTTCATGGTACGAGTTCAAAATATCTAAGTTGACATTAAGTAGATAATGTTTAGTAGCTTAAAATTATAGGTTATCTAAATTTTTTTTTAAATTTAAAAGTAATTAATTTATTGTAATCTTTTTTAAATTGTAATTTTAAATTTAAAGCTTCGTGTTATAGATTACTTTAATTCTTAATTTGTGTCTAGCGTTAAAATATATTTATGGGTAGTTTCATGCTTTCACTTAGTTTTGGTTATTGGGATAAAAGCCATGACAATATTTTGTTATAAATTTATCTTAATTTAATTTTTATTGAAAATTTTGTTATAAATAAAATTTGTCTTTAATATTGTTAATACTGTAGCTCTTTGAAAAAAAATATGTTTCTGGCTCTTCAATAAATATAAAATTATTTGTCTTGCATGAATGAATTTTGGTTTAGGATTTAATTGTGTTAGTTTATGTTTGTCTATCTGTAATTTATTTAGGTTATTAGAAAATTCATGTTTACAGAGTTGTTATAAATCATAATCGAGTTGTTAAACCAAGGAAATTGTGGAGGTTTATTTATCATATATACTATATATATTATATAATTATATTGGAGGGAGTAAGTTTAGAAGTCTTTTTAAATTTTTAAAAAGAAATAAAAATACTTTTCAATATATATCTGTTTTCTTTGAGGTAGAATTAAAGTTTCAGTTTTTTAAAACTTTAAATTAACTTTACAATGTTAAAATGGTTTAAACGGATTTTTGTAAATGAATTTAATCCTCAAAGATTAAATTTTTTTTATTATTGAAGAAATTAAACTAGATTTAAGAATAAGTCGACTTAAATGTTTGTTTGTTTTTCTATTTAGATAATGACAATATTGAAGCAAGTAAGTTAAAAAGCATTTTTAAATTTTTAAAAAGAAATTTTTTCTTTGTTTTCTTTGAGGTAGATTTAAAGTTTCAGTTTTTTAAAATCATATATATTTTAAAATCATATATATAACTCATATATCTTTGTTTTTCTATTTAGACGTTGGTAATAATATGAAACAGGTAAGTTATAAAGCATTTTAAAATTTTTAAAAAGAAATAAAAATACTTTTTATTATATATCTGTTTTCTTCGAGGTAGATTTAAAATTTCAGGTTTTTTAAATCATATATATTATAAGATTTACAAATGAGTCGACTTGAATGTTTGTTTGTTTTTCTATTTAGACGTTGGTGATAATATCGAAACAAGTAACTTATAAAGCATTTTTAAATTTTTAAAAAGAAATAAAAATACTTTTCAATATATATCTGTTTTCTTCGAGGTAGATTTAAAATTTCAGGTTTTTAAAATCATATATATTATAGTATTAAATTCTTTTTTACTTTAAAAATATCTATATTATAGTTACACTGAGTTGAGAAAAAAAATTAAAGTTTATTAATAAGGTAGTAGATTATTAGAGTAGATTAAATTGTTTGATCTATTAATCAACTTAATAACGTACTATTAATATGAAGATTTATTTTGGTTGTTTGTTTGTTAAAATTTAGTTAGAGTTTATTTAAAATTTAAATTCTTTAGTTAATCAAGAGAGATCTAATAAAGGTATTAATTACATTAGTTGAATGTGGCATTTAATATGTATTTTATCGATATAAGGAATAAAATAATAAGGAATAGAAAAATTTTAAAAATTTGCTCTGGAATTTGTCAAAAGAGTGTTGTGTTATGCTTCATTTTAAGGTATCTAAATATATATTCATTAAAAAATTTTAATTTTGTTTTTAAATGGTTTATTCTTTTTCACTACTTTAGATAAATATATACTGACTGACATAACTTCATTTTTATTAACAATGTCGTGCATTGTAGTCTGCATTCTTTGTTACATTAAAAATAATTGATGCTAATAAATGTTTTTTTATAGTTGTTAAAAGTTTGCATATATGTTTGCATTTATATTGTGATCAAAGTTAAAATTTTTTTGATAAATACGTGTATGTGGTGATACTACTCAGGTATCACCGCAGCTTATCTCTATCAGGTACATTGATTTTTAATTCACATATGATGTTTTTCTTTGTATTTACTTATTCATTACATTTTTAACTTCAGATTTATGGTGTATTTATTTGCTATAGAAGAACAAATCATTTTGAATTTTTTAAAAATATCTACACCAATCAACATTTAAAATTCAATGTAGCATATACCAGCTTCTAGGCTTTTTTGATGCTTTTCTTATTCAAGTGGTTTCATAAGCAAGGTCTACAAGCAAATTTGAGATAAAAAGTTTTTCAGCTTTCAAGGAGTATCAATGTTGTTCTCTGTATACTTTAATTTGTTTAAATAGAGTAGTTTTAGTAAATAAATGTTTGTTTGTTCTTGGTTTTTTACTTATTTGTTATCAGATTCTTAAGAATTAATCAACTTAGCAAGCAAGATTTATTTTATTTTTTAGTGCAATTGGAAAGAGCTAAAGTGCTTTTTAGTTACTTCAAATCATTTGTTTTTATTTTTTAAATAGAAGGGTTAATAATAAAAATATTTAGACAGTCGAACTGTTACTGATTTGAGTAAGTTTAATTTTTTGTTTAATTTTATATTAGATATATATTTTATGTATTTAACATGAAAAACTGACTGTAATTTTTGACAGGTAAGTTTATATACTTAAATGTGCCTATATATCGGAATATTTTATATTTCTCTGAATCTATATGAATATTATCTCAGAAAAAATTAAGAATAGAAAAAATTTGAATATATATACATACATATATATTACTTTAGACTGACATTGCTTCATTTTTTATACAAGATTCTGCATTTATTATTTTTGTGCATTAAGATTGTGCCTGAAGGCTTTCTTAATTTAGCAAAGAATTTAGAACACAATGCAAATAACTTTGCACTGTGTTCTAAATTCTTTGCTAAATTAAAATAATGTAAATAAATTTTGTTTTATATTTTTCAGTTGTAAAAATATAAAACGTTCATTTATTCAGTTGTAACAGTAGCATAACCACTGGTAATATATATTTAATGATAATAGATTTATAATATTAGGCTTGAAGAAGTTATTAGTGTAAATGGTTATAGGTGACTTGAAATTGTTGTCATATGAAAGAAATAGATCTAGGCATGATAAAATTAATTGTCGTTGAAATATAAGAAATTTTGCTTGATGAACCAAAAACTTACTTGGCAGAATTCAGTGTCAAGCGCTGTTGATGTCTATTATTTGACTTTACATTAGACACTTTAAAATAAAGCAAAGTATGAATTTTACTATTTATAGTAACAAATAATAAAAATTTCAGTTTTGATGTTTTTTTTTTTTTTTGTTTTTTTTTTTTTTTTTTTTTTTTTTTTTTTTTTTTTTTTTTTTTTTTTTTTTTTTTTTTTTTTTACTTTTGTAATCTTAATATAATTGTTCATTTTTTTTTTAGTTGTCTTTGTCATCACTTGATTATTTTGCTTACTGCTGAAACATGGTTTTAATTTTGTAAATTTAATATGATGTGAAATTTACAATATTAATCATTTGTCAACAGTTAGAAGCTGGAAATAAATTAAGAAATGCTGGAAATTAACTTTTAGTTAAGGTAAAAATAATTTTGTTTATTGGTAGCATAATAAAACCAGTTACTGTTATTTATTGCATGACTTTTTTACTTTTTCTAACATGGTGTTTTTAAAACACTTCCTCTCTCTATTAGATGAGACTTAAATAAGAATTAGTATTGAGAATTGTAGAGAGAGAATTGATTGGGGGGTCGTATGGGTTGAATGGGCGGTCGTAACTAAAAACCTTTAAAAATATGGAGAATATTGTAGTTTTGCGCATTAATATCGAGTTACTTAAGTTTTATTTATGTGTTTAACTAATTAGTTAGCTTAGTCTGTGTTTGCAACACTTTTGAGGAAAGAAAGAAAACATTTTTATATAAGTAGATCATTGTTTTACATTTTAATATTTTATTTTATTCACCAGGCCACCATTAAAGCAAAAAGAGGGAAGGAACCTCTTTATTAGAGCCAAAATATTTAGAAAAATTAAATTTCGAGTTACAAAAGGAATTTTTAGTAAATGGTGGCAAATTACCGTTTACTAAAAATTTTATGAAATAAAGAGGCCAAATAAATAATATACAAATGGTCTGTGTTGAACAGACTTAACAAGACCCGGGTCGGGTCAGCTTGGTTTACAAATTTTTATGTCTACTTATCTCTTATAATTTTTATTTTAGTTTGTTCTATGGTGCATTTATGTATTAAAAAATTTGTTATACCTATGTTTGATCGTAAATTAAATTTTCTTTTGTTTGAAAGGTATTTGTACTCAGTTGCGTAGTATAATAAACTTTGTTATTTTTTATAAATTTATTTAAACGTGTGCATTTAATATTTTTAAGTTAACAATTTTCTTTTCTAAAGAACAATTAATCAAGGGGATAACAAAAAATTGATAACTCCTGTATAATATAAGTTAACTTCATTTTAATCTTAATGGTTCGTGTTATAAAAATTATTTTAAGGATTTAGTTGACACTTTCGTCAATTTAAAGTATAACCAAGTGTTATTATTTTGCGTCAGTAACTAAAAACGTATTGTGTTAAACTTAGGAAGGTCGACGAAAATGGTTCTGCCTTACACTGTTATGACCTGTGCCATTTGTAAATTACTTAATAATGTTAAGTAGTAGTTGGTAAATTATTTTACCTCCTCATAATTTTTATGTTAATTTTACAGATGGATTAATTTTTTCAAGCTGAAGGCAATTTTCTGAAAGGGTTAGTTAAGGTTTTGCATTTAGTTAAGGTTTTGCAAGATTAAATTGTGGAAAACAGCTACTATAAATTAATTATGTAACAGACCGACCAAAACCCGTATTACGGGTTGCCTTTTGCTAGTATGACATTATTGTTTTGTTTTTTTAAAAATTTTCTCAGCAAATCAAAAATTTGTATAATATTTTACTAAATCCCAAAAAATATTTTCGATACATAGAAGTGAGTAAAAATATCAGAATAACCGGATATCCGAAGAAGCGGACCGGTTATCTGATCCGTTTTTTCTTTTAATATTCAGATTCGGATGCGAATCACGAACTATTAATAAATCGGATAACCTGATCTGCTCCAGTTTATTGTACGTATTTATAAAAATAATAACTTTATATGTATCTGAGATGCTTATAAGTATCGTATATCAATGCTTAACGACTCTCAATATGTATTAATTGACACGGAGATTGTTAAGTATAATAAAAAAGAATTGTGAATGTAAATGATCACACCGCTATCTAAATATTTTGCTACGTTATAAATAGTACATAATACTTAATCAAATTGTTTAGAGAAAATTACAAACAAAACAATTTTATTTTTTATCAACAGATTTGTTATTTATTGAGTCAATGTTTTTTAAAACTGTTTAACGTTCTTGCTATTCATTTGCTCAAGATTCTTGAACCGAAGGTACAAAAAACTTGAGCAAGTTGCAAACTATGTACTCTTGCGTGCCTAATAAATGGGAGGGGACGTTTTTGATTTTCAAAAAAATGTTCTTCCCATCCCAAGCTTATTAGGCGTATTTTCCCCGCCTAATTATTTTTAGTAGTTTCTGACTTTTTTTGATATATATACATTTTGATATCAACAAATAATTTAATTAAAACTAAAAAAATATAAGGATTCTAAAATGGCCTTGAAAATTGAAAAATACAAATATCAGTTACTAATAAAAAAAATAATAATCTTTCAGTGTAATCAGAATTTAAAAATTGTCGACCTAAAAAAAATCTTGTTATTTCCATTTGATGACAATGAGCTTTTGATTTATTTCTTACCATAGTATAACTTTTTAAACATAAAAATGCTGTAGTAGTAGATTGCTCACTTCATAAGCTTGAGATTCCTAGTTCGATCGCCACCACGTTCCTGGTAGTGTGTTCTGTAAAAAATAAAAACTTATGAGGTTTTGATTTCACAGGCCAACAAAATTTTATTTTTATTTTGCATACAGTATGTTTTCTTATAGTATTCCTTACTCTGATTTCAAATACGCACTTTTTTTTCTTCTATCGTGTCAATTTTCAAAGATATTAGGGTTCAACCCCTAATATTTGGGTTGAGTTCACAATATTGTCAAATAAAAACTCTTTTTACAGAGATTTTAAAAAACATAAAAGTTTTTATTTATATAAAAAAATATGAAAAAATGCTAATGAGATTCAAAATAATCTAAACAAATGTTTTTCACCAATGAAAAATGTTCATTTTATTACAAACATTATTTTTAAAATTTTTGTAAAAAATCTTTTGAGATCCATGTTGATATACTTTTAAAGAAGTTTTTTTTGATAAAATAAAC